AAACAAACAAATCGCCGAACGCCAGCACGATACACATCAGGGTCAGCGTGTGCTACGGAAAGCCCCCCGCTCTCCTCTCGTCGCCGCTCTCGTCCCCGACGAGGAGAACAGAACAGAAGAGGATAAACGAGCGGTCCGAGGGGATCGTCACGGCCTCGGCTCCCCTCCCTCCGTCCTCCGTTCCGCGTCTGCGCGTCGCCCGCGGCGCCCGTCTCCTCCGGCTACCAGACCGTGGCCTCGTTCATTTCGGCGGGGGGGTGCGACAGGTGGTTGCTGTAGCCGCTGCCGTTGATGGAGAGGGAGGTGAAGGGCGGGCTGGGGCCGAACACCTCCGAGGAGATGCTGTGCAGGGGCCCCGGGATGCCGGGCTCGGGGCTGGGCGAGTCCCCGGGGTGGTGGGACAGGATGTCCGAGAACCGCTGCACCTCGCTGGACGGGTGGTGCCCCGGCAGGGGGTGATCCATGCCCCCGAGGGGGGTGCCGGTGGGGCCAGAGGAGGGGACGAAGGGCAGGTCGACGGGGGTCTGGGCCTGCGAGGACGGGGGCCCCTGGGGGAAGAAGTCGTAGTTCCCTCCGGGGCCGTAGTATTCGCTCTGGTAGTCTGGCAAAACAAGCACAGAGACCGTGAGAAACAACCGAGACGAAGCCCGACCGGGACCCGCGAAGCGCCCTCCTGGCCCGCCAGGCGTGCGCACGGCGCCGCGCGGCCTCTCGTTTCTCTTGGACTCCCGAGGTCTGCCCTCCAGGAGACTCCGGGACCGCCCGGAGTGTCTGACCGCGGGTTCGGATCCTGCCCGGACGCCGCGGCAGCGCAGGAGGACGCGCGACGCAAGGGAAGGAAAGGGCGGCGCTCTCCCTGCAGGCCGGGAGGCCGTGTTCCCAGCAGCAGCAGGAGCGGGAGCGGTACAGTGTACTGTACAGGGAGCCCGCGTGCTCCAGCGCTCCTGTACCGTCGCCAGCCCGCCGTGGGCAGGGGCACGGGGACGAGGTCTAAAGACGGAAAGGGTTGTCCCAACTGTCCAGATCGCCGCCCCCCACCACCACCACCACCACATTTCCTTTCTTACAGCTGCAGCTGGACACCCGCAGGCCGAGCATGGCTCTGCTGGACACGCGGAGGACGAGGTGGAAAGACCCACTCCTGAGAAATGCGACGCGCTGCCCCGCTGCCCCGCCGCCCTCGGTCACCCCTGCTTGGGAGCTGCCACAGCGCGTCGCATTCCTCAGGAGTGGGTCTTTCCACCTCGTCCTCCGCGTGTCCAGCAGAGCCGTGCTCGGCCTGCGGGTGTCCCTTCCTGAGAGCTCACCCCCGAAGGGACAGTCCGCGCCCGTGGAGATGATATCAGACATCCGACGCAGAGGCCGCATCTGAGTTACAGGTGTCGGCGGTGCAGGGAAAACACCCCTTTGTAATGCCGCAATGCTAGGCCACGGTCTGTAGATCCACAGCACACGAAGCCACGCGAGTCAATGATTGTCAAGGAATCCCGAAAGCAGCACAGCGGCCTGGGGAGCTGCACACAATTATTTTTTTTACATTTTTTAATTGTGCTTTTATTGTATTGGATTTCATACCGAGTGTCAGCACCTCCACCACGCACGGTGCGCCGTGCACAAAAGTGTTACTTCCGGATATAAAACAGAATTGGAAGTTTGACACTGCAAGGTCTTGTTTCAAAAGAGCAGGCTGTTGGAAATGAACGGACGCAATGCTGACCACTTCTTTTTTTCCCCCCCAAAAAAAACACACCTGGCTTTTAAACCCCAAATACCATATTATTATCACTCCAGATGCTGCCAGCTCAGTGCTGCCTGTTATGTCTATAAAGTGAAAACTTATTACAGCATCACAAAGAGTCTGTTTCCTCGCTCACAAAGTATAAGGTGTCGCATTGCTCCTGTACCAAGAAAATGCCTCCCCTTTACTTATCAGTAACTGATCAACCTGGATGGAATGGTTCAGTTACATATTAATCGAAACGTTCTGGCCAGGGATCACAGACTCATGCCTTTTCCCAAACTCTAAGCAGAATCGAAAGGAATCTGAGGATGAAATATTCGCCATTGTTCTCTGCTGGAAGCAAATTCACACACATTTGCACGTACGTGCGCACTTCACGCGACGAGAACCAGCAGCGATATACACTCCCTGTTCTAGCCTGCGTCTCAGTGTTTCATTTTATTCACAAATCTGAGGATTTATTTATTTTTTTTTTCCTGAAGGGCCTAAATGCAAATAGCTGTATTATAAAACCATATTTGACTAAATTATATGCGCACAAGGTTCACGCTGAAAATTCCCGAATCTGAAACACCGGCAGGTGAAAAACATTTTTGCTGTTTGCTGTGTAGCCCCGACTACGGCCACCCCGCCCAGCAGGAATTTACTCTAAAACGAATTAATCCAGATTAGAGAGATGTCGTGTTTTGATAGGGGCTGTTACAGGACGCTATATGCGTATTCCTGACGTTAATATTTTGTATCTTGATATTCTTTCAATATTACAGAATATCACTGAGGCAATGGAACAAAATAAAAACAGATTAGACAAACAGGATAACAGCTGTGAACCGTCCTAGGAATATTTGTAACCTAAACTAGACGACAAAAAAAAACCCCGAAAACCGTTTCCAGTTCACAATGTGGGAACTGAGCGCACGAAACGTGTTGTAGAAAAACTGCCGACGTTACCTGTCGAGGAATAAACAACAACAACAACAAAAAAAACCCCGGTGCATTTTAATCTCGCTTCCTAGGGGTTTTAAAAGTGTGGCCGCACCAGGTAAAAGCCTGAACCCGTTTTCAAAGGCGCCGTGGGGCCGGGCCGACAGATGGACGCGGCACTTGACGAACACACGCGAAATTATTTAACACTTCAGACCACTCCGCGCCAGAGGAAAACGCAAACAGAAACAAGACACCGACCTCCGTAGTAGGAGAAGGGCCCGTTGGGGATGAGCTCTCCGGGCTCCAGGCGGTCCACCAGCGTCCTCATCCGGCGCGGGCTGCGGAAGAACGCGTGCCGCCTCGCGCCCAGCGCGCTCAGCTGCTTCATGCGCCGCTCCTTGGACCGCCGGTTCTGGAACCAGACCTGCGCACAGGAGGACACGGGTCAGACCCTCTCCTGGCCCGCATTCAGCACATACACTACACGTGTTTCTTCTGTGCAGTAAAATACGTGCAGAAAGATATTTAACCTGTAATCCGGTTATATTTCATTAGGCTATCCACAGCCTCGTAACGAGACTATTTTATTTTTTTCTTGGATTAAAACACACTTCTATACACAAATAGCAAATAAAAGATCAACTTAAAATGTACTACTACAGTGCAAAGATACTCTTTACCTCCTATTATCTGATTTTATTTTTTTTAAAGCGTGGTTTTAAAAAAACATTCTACTGAGCCGAATCGGTGATAAATTCCGTTTAGGCCAGAAACCTCAGCGAGCATTTCTTGTCAGGAATAGACACGAAAAAAAAACACTTTCCTCAGCGAAAAGAAGCCATAGTCAAAATTGTAGAAAGAAAATTAGGTTTGTATGGTAAAAAAAATATATAAACTATTTTAAGGATCGCTTGTTTCAGGACATTGGCGAAATGTCATTTTTCAGCGAAAGCTTTCATTTCACATACTGGAATTAAAGCGTTTCAGTTTCCTCTAATATATATATAACACTTGAATAAATATAATAAATATGAATACATGTTTTTGTCTTACAAAAACAACAGAAATATGCCACATTATCAGCGCGCTGCAATACAGGCTAAAACATAAATATTACCGAACACTTTGTTTACAAGCTAACTTTTCATAAGATATTATCAACAGCAAAACTTTCCATTTGATGTTTATTCTGAGGCTTGAGCGTTTAAAATGGGCAAAACAGCATCAATTTCAGTATATATGAGGCTGTATAGGTATATTGTACACAATCCAAAACGATTTCTTCACACACGCACAATTAGACAAGCATTATAACAACAACCCCGTAACAGCATGAAAATGTTCTCCTGGTGAGCCACAGCAATTTATCAGGGTCCTGAACTGGGCTTCAGTACAGAACACACACACACACATCAACAGTAATACACAAATGCTCCAAATTGTTTTGGTGGGTCTATACAGTATATATGACGTCAACGAATTACAAAGACCATAAACA